ATTGTGTATCATGTTCTAATTCAACAGAAGAGTGTATAGAATGTTCTGGAATATTTGTTATTGAAAATGGTATTTGTGTGTGTGAAAATGGGTCATACCAAAACACAGCAACGACTTGTGATAGTTGTTTTAATCATATAGATAACTGCCAAATTTGTGAGAGTAATTTTAATGACCAAAATTTATACAATAATGTAAGTTGTAAGAAATGTTATCCACCTTATTATATGAGTAAAAGTTTGTGTATCTCATGTCCACCTGGTACATTCTTTGAAAATGAGATGTGTCATACAAATGATGCAAATTGTCAAAACCAAAGTGCTTCCAATGAATGCATTTTATGCCAAAGTGGTTACACACTTCGTAACAAAAAGTGTGAACCTTTTGTTGATTGCAAAAGTGAATCTCAAATTGGATGTGAAGAGTGTGACTATACAATTAATGTTGATGGAAAATGCACAAAACCACAAAAAGACTGTAAATACGAAATTAACGATTTTGAAAATAGAAAATGTTTACAATGTAGTGATGGCTATTTGTTAATTGATGAAACGTGTTTTGAAGCTGAAATATCGAACACGACAATACAAAATAATTTGACATATACATGTGATACACAAGAGTACCTTAATCAAAACAACATGTGTGTTGACTGTAAACAAAATATGTCAAATACAAATGGTTGTCAATTGTACAATGGAAATGTAATCTCAACAAAATGTGATGGAAATTATGTGATGGATATAATATATAACAAATGTATTGCAAGTGAAATGTGTCTGACATATGTAAGTGGTGATTGTGTGGATTGTGACAACTCCGTTCATCGCGTCATTAAAAATAATTTGTGTATAGAAAAGACTTATGATAAATGTGTGAAATATCACATAACTGAGTGTATTATATGTGAAGAAAATTATTTGATTTCAAATGGAAAATGCACTTCTAAAGGAGAATTGAATTGTGAAAATTCAAATCAATTTACTTGTGTAAAATGTGAAGATAATTATCACAATGTTATTTATTCTCTTGACGAATATTGTCAAGCAAACACAGATAATATCAAATTTCAGAAATCAACAAATAACTCCACTACAATTTTAGAGTGCTCAGATAATTATTTATTGACTAACAATTTATGTATACAAAAAGTTGACAAATTAAACATTAAAAAATCAGATGATACTTTATGTACAATTTTAACACCAAAAGGATGTCTCAAATGTGTCAATGGGTTTTATTTACACAATTCTAAAAATTGTGTTAAATGCAGTAATAATTGTGTTGAATGTTACAACGACACATACTGTCTTTCTTGTAATAAAACATCAAACCTTTTCCTTACAACAAACAACTCATGTCAGTTTTTAGAAATACTAAACAACACGTGTAAACTATTGATGCCAACAAAAACGAGTTGTGCGATATGTGATGATGGTTATTTAAGAGAAAATGGCGACTGTGTTCCATGTGATGTCTCATGTGCAACATGTCTTGAAACAAAGAAGTGTCTTACTTGCAAAGAAAATTACTTTTTGATTCAAAGTGAATCGTTCTTATGTCAGAGTTATGATAATTTGACACGTTGTTTACATAAAACACCACACGGGTGTACTTTATGTGATGATGGATATTATGTAGACACACAAATACCTCGCTGTTTCAAATGTGATTTAAATTGTGATATTTGTGAAACGTCACAGAGTTGTGTTACATGTTCAATTGATTATATATTAATAAATAATGTGTGTGTGTCAATTTCAAACATTACACATTGTATCAAAGCTACAAACAATATTTGTACACAATGTGAAGGTAATTTCAAAGTATCAGACAATGGCATTACATGTGTAGATAACAATTCACTGAATTATGGAGTTGTCATTGGAATACCAATCACTTCTTTCATTCTTCTTGTTATTATAATATTACTGTTGATAATAATAATATATAGTATCATTTCTCACAAAACTCGCAAAGAAAAGGAAAAAGAAATTTGCATTTTTAATATGAAGAAGTCAAACATTTCATTTACTAAATTGAACGACTTTTTAGTCTCAAATTTAGATCAAATTAAATTTGAAAATGAAACAAATAATGATTTAAATATACCAGTCGACTTAGAAACGCGAGCACTAATTTGCATTGGAAATATATCAAAAGACAAAATCAAAGTTCAGATGAGTGTAGTAGATGGGTGTGAGTTGTACAGCATTCGCACATCGCCACCTCTAGTTACCTTAACCAAAGACGAAGCCTGTGAGTTCGAAGTATTTTTAAAGCCAAATTGTTCGTGTTGTATCAACGAACAAATTCTCTGCACGTCCCTTTCAATAAGTAAAGGAGTTCAAACATCAACAAACATCAAAATATCAGCTCAAACAATTTTAACAACAAAACTTGATTACCACGAATTAAAAGAAGACAAAAAACTGGGAGAAGGTTCCTTTGGATTGTTTATTTAGGAACTTTTCGTGGACACAAAGTCGCAATTAAAAAACTAGAGCAGTTTGACGAAAATGAAGTTCATATGTTAGACAAATTTATAAGTGACTATATCGTCCATTTCTATGGCGCTGTTTTTGCACGAAACAAAGTGTGTATGGTCACCGATTATGCGCCATTTGGGTCTTTACAGGATTTGATGAAACACACAACTTCGAGTGAAATAGATATGAATTTACGAGTGAAGTTTTGTCTTGACACTTCAAAAGGAATTTTGTATTTACACACAAACGGTATTTTACACAGAGACATTAAGCCAGACAACATCTTAGTGTTTACTTTGAAAACAAATGAAACTGTAAATGCAAAATTGACTGACTTTGGATCATCAAGAAATATCAATTTACTGATGACTAACATGACATTCACAAAGGGAATTGGAACACCAAGTTATATGGCACCTGAAGTGTTAAAAAAGGAAAAATACAAGAAGGCTGCAGATATTTTTTCGTTTGGAGTGACTATGTACGAGTGTGTTGGGTGGTGTGAAGCGTATCCAAAAGACGAATTCAAATTTCCTTGGAAAATAGCCGAGTTTGTTATTTCTGGCAAGCGTGTAGTCAAATGTCCATTAATGAGTAATAAAATCTTTAATATCATCACTGAGTGTTGGAAGCAAAACATGAATGAGCGTCTTAAAATTGAAGACATTGTTCACTACCTTGAATCATGTTAAATACTTATTTATTGAAAATTTATTCTTAAAAATCGATAGTAAATATATAAATAATTTATAGTTAATTAAATAATATTACATTTCACATTATTAAAAATACATAATTTGTTATTATTTTATATTATAATTGTTATTATTTGTATTAATTATATTATTACAAACATAAAAAAATGGTTAAAATAAACTATAATATTTGGTTATTTGTTTTAATAAAATATACTAAAATATATTCTAAAAACAATTAAATACATAATTATATTTTTATAGTTATTAATTAATTTCTACAAATTAAAAAAAATGAACAAAAACCTGTGTTGTTAAAAAAAATCATTTTAACAAAATTTCTGTGGTAATTTTTTGAAATTTTTTAATTATTATTAAAATAATTACTATTTAATACTTTAATAATTAAATATTTATTAAAAATAATTTTAGTCAATAAAAAAACCACTAACCAATGTCATCATAAAATTACTTTTAATAATTTTTTTATTAATTTAAAATGTTAAAACTAGTTTTTTTAAATTTAAATAAATAAAAAACAATTTTTAACAAAATACAAATTACAGAAAACCCAACTGGCACAATAAAAGACCGGAAAACTATAAAGATGGTTTATAAAAACTATTTTATGGTTTTTTCAATGAAAAATTTAAAAAACAGTACTAAATTCAAAAAACTATAATATACTATAAATTAATGGTTTACAGGTCTTTTTTTGATTCTGGACTATTTTTCGGGTATTTAACATCATAAATTTATTAAAAACATAGTTTGTTCTATATTTGTGTTGCTTGAAACGAGTTGTTTAAACCAATTTAATACTTGCCAAACTAAACTTGCCATTTTAATTTGACCACAAACCCATTGTTCCATTATTAAAATGAATAATAACACTTAATAAGAACAAGAAAAAACGGGTTTTGAAAATGAATTAAATTAAAACACAGTAGTGTTCTCTTTCCTGTGTATAACAGGACAGTCAAAAATTAAATAATTGATTTAATAATATTTTTTTTCCTTACTTATATTGGAGTTTTTAAATGAAAATTTCGAAAAAAAAATTCAACGATTATATCGGTAATAATTGATATTGATACAAAGACGGTGTTGATTTGTATAATGTTCATTTTTTCCATTCCGATAAAACCGCCAAAGAAAACACCCTCTTGATTTGTATTTATAGCGTATTTAAAATAATTGAACGTAATTGAAATTCTTATTATTTTAGTTATTCAACTAAAACTATGAAAAATACTGAATATACAAAAGACGAAAAAATGAAGTTATTTACACTTCTTTTTACTATCAACTTTTGTATCTTTTTTGTAATGTCATCAGTCATTTTCTTTACAACATACAAAATAAGAACAACCATGTTGTTCACTTTATCTACGGACGCTGCTGTACAGGAACACGGTTTTAATTTGCAATTGTCGTCAATTCCACATTTTTTATATGATGAAAAACACGGAACGCCAATGTTCACTCAAACACAACTTGAAGAGTATAACAAATACATAGTTACTATTTTATCTATGCAAAATGGTACTGAAAAACACAATGAAAACATCGAAAAGAAACCAATAGAAAATCACAAAGAGAAAATATTAGACCCACTGAATGACCCAACAGATCCTTTCAAATTTAAAACAGAAGGTCCAATCGACAAAAAAGAGGAAGATATTGAGAGGAAAAGTGCCATTCGAAGATGTAGTTTATGTGGAAAATACAAGAAAGAACAGACTGAAATTGATTTAAAAAAGATGAGTGATTTACCTGACATCTGTAACAAGCGAATTGATGTTGTGTGGTCTTGGGTGAATGGAACAGACCCAAATTGGCTTGAGAGTTTGAAGAAGTATGTCACTGATTTCGACCCATACAGATATCGCAATACAGACACTTTAGTCTATTCCATGCGGGGAGTATATAAGTACTTGCCATATGTCAAAAATTACTTTATAGTGACTGCCAATCAAGTTCCCGATTTTTTAGACGCGCCATATAATTTGACAAGTTTCATACTTGTGAAGAATAACATCACTTTAGAGATAGTCCCACACTCACAAATTATCGAGAAGAAGTTCTTGCCTGTTTTTAATAGTGAAGCGATCGAAACAAGTCTTCATAAGATCAAAAATCTCGGGGAGTGCTTCATTTATCTCAACGACGACGTCTTCTTCAATAAACCAACGCCACCAGACTACTTTGTCAAAAACGGGAAGTTACAAGTCCACGTCGAGCGCTCGGCACCGGAAGTCGTGTTAGAAAAAAAGTCGTTGGTCCACAGCTGCATTTCACACTCAAATCGACTTGTAAATAAATTCTTTAAAAAGCCGGAAAACACACGACATCGGTTTATGTCACATACAGCACATTTCTTTAAGAAAAGTATCTCGTATGAAGTCGAAAAGGCTTTTTGGGACGAATTTGAAAATACAAGAAGTAAACGAACAAGGGCGTGGCAAACCACAAATTGGTCGTATATGGTTGGAGTGTATGAAGTTATCAAAGGATACGGAGTGGACGTCAGAGAATACAATTTGGCGAAGTTCTGGATGTTCGAAGATAAACACCAGAAGAACGTTGTTGCGAAAATACAAAACGACGAAATCAATCCATATGTCTTTTGCGTGAATGACGATATGACAAATAAAACATTTGAAAAGGAAATGAGATATATACACAGATGGTTAGTTACGAAATTTCCAGATAAAACAGTGTTTGAGAAGTAAATAAAAACAAAGAATTGAAAGTTGTGTTTGTTTTCAATTATTAATTCAGTTTAATAGAAAATAAATTTATTTTTATTTATATTAATTAGTTCGTGAATCTTAAAATATAATTTTGTTGTTTTTAAAGTGTTACACAATTTATTGTCTAATTCTTATTTGTTTATTATTTTATTTATCATTTAATAATGTACGTTACTCGTTATAAAGTTAATTGAAGCAACCCTAATTTTAGTTTAAAATTTATATCTTTTTTTATGAAAAACGAATTAATTTCCAAATAAAAAATCGTTAAAATTTTAATACAATATTTTATTCTACAAATCGATTTTGACGAAAAAAAATGTAATTAATTTTGGTGCGTTCATTATTTTTATATTTCAAAAGACGTTTTTAAACAAAATATTGTATTTAAATATCTTAAAAAAACAAGAAACCCAGTATTTCAAACATCACTTTAAATTATAAATTCAAAAAGTTAACTTTTAACTCCAAAAAACAAATGGAAGTTGTAATTCCAATATCTATTATCAAAAATATAGCATCAAAAAGTGATTTACAAACTTTTCTGCGTATTACAGAAACGTGTAAATTATATAGCGATTTACAAAACGACGACGAAATATACGCTACTTTAAGTCACAATGAATTTTTATCTCGAAATGATTGCATCAAAAATATGTCTAAAAACAATGTTATTGTTACAAACTCGGTAATTCAAACGGCATCTGACACTATTGCATGGGAAAGGACATTACACAATCAAATGAAAGTCGTTTTAAAAACACTTTTTACAAATCACATTATGCATTGTATATGTGTTGTTTGTTTAATTCTATTCAGTGTGTTATACCCACTTTCTCTTGACAAATACATTTCCACTAAAAGTGGACCAATTTCTTTGTTACTTGTTTTTCCTGTTCTCTGTTTCTTCTTTGGAGTCTATTTTTTCCAAATCCACGTGTATGACAATTTTTTAGTGATTGTGGTCACCCCTTTTTAGTGTTAACATCGACTATTTTTTATCCAATTTCATTTATTGGACATTTTGATAATGTTAATGTCACGTTCTTTATACCTTTTATACTGCTTTGCACTTGCATTTTGTTTGTGTTATTTTCATTTGATTTTATTCAAATACAATACGTTATACTTCCACAAGTTTTGTATCATTTTCTCGCATCTTTGTCATGTGGATTTTATGTTAATATCAACGAAATATTGATGAGAAAATATCATTCAACACCATTTATAAGTCATATAATAATGGAAGATACAAAGAACCCATTTTGTGGGTTTGGGTTGTTCTCAATAATTAAGAACGTTTTCAAGGATGTGCCACTTTTCGTTTTCTTATTGTGTTTTTTTGTCAAGTTAGCTTTTCCCAACAGTTTGAGTGACACAAGTGGAATTGTTTTGATCTCTTTGTATTTTTGTTATTGGTATATTTTTCATCTGATTTACTTTCCATTACTCTCGTTTTTTTATTGGAATGAAAACAAATCTTTTTGTTTTGGTCATGTGACTGTTTCGGATCAAGAAAAAGAAGAGTGTTGTGGTGGGTGTTCTTGTTTGTTTGGTGTATTTCCAGCAGTATCTTTTGCGACTTCTTTTGTGTTCATTTACAAAATCATTTTTTATTCGAGTGGAATGAGTTATTTGATTGCATTTGTGCCTATCATTGTGTTAATAGGGTGTATTTTTCTGTGTGGGAATTTCAGTTGTTGTTGGATGACACATGAAAAAATGTGTCCACTGCTCTGTCCAGATTGGTGTGGTTGTTTAAAAACGTTGTTTTGTTGTATGTGTTGCAAATATCCAAATTAAAATACACTACATAATGGCGTATATTATACTATAATGTAAATCACAAACAATAATGGATATGGATTGTGATTTGGCATATATTTTTATGAACAGATACTTTTTAATTAAATATTCAGTAAATTAGTCTCATTTTTTTGCATTGACAAACAAATTAAATATTGTGCTTCAAAACCGAGCAGTCTTCCACAAAAACTTATTATGGATGAAAAAAAGAAACAGGGATTAATTAATGTAAAAAATAATAAGGTTGACGTAAAATTATTTTACCATGAAATTTTTCATTTTGGTATAAAAGTATAAATTTTACCTTGGTGGATCTTTTAGATCCAGCCGTTTTTTGCACCTTTTTTCAAGTAATACATTTTTGGTTTTTTATTTAGTCTATAAACTAATAATGAAATCAAAAATTTATTTTGTCATTTAATGTATTTTGTAAAGCAAAAACGATTGTTATGTATAATTATTAAATTTTGTAACAAACAACAACAAATATAAAAATTCATGTTAAATTTATATAATCATTAGACAAACAAAGAATCAATTTAAAGCCAATTTACACAATCTTTAAATTTGTATGTATCATATAATCATATTATATAACCAGTATTTTAAAAAACTTGAAGTTTTTGTTTTTAAATTATCTTGTATGTATTAACGTCGTTGCCTATCAACGATGTTAATAGACATCGTTTTTTTTGTTGAATTTGCAATTAATAGTTAATTAAGAGTTGGAAATATTATCATTTCTTTCTGATATTGATAGAATTAATTTTTTAATACAGTTATCGTGTTGAAATATTTTTTGATGTGTAATCAATCAAATCAATTACTTATTTGTTGTTTCGAATAAGACATGGTTTAATAAAACAATATCAGAGCACATAATATCATATAATACATCATTTATAATTATTACAACATTATGTTTTCAATAACAATTAACAAGTTTTTAAATTATTTATAAAAAATGCTTGTGATATAATCTGAACAAATTACAAATGAATTTGACAACATATCATCAATATATTGTTTGTTTTTATAAACAACCACCAAACGTTGTGGACGATGTAAATTACTCAATAAAATTACTTTTTGTTTGTTTTATATAAATGTCCATTTGATAAAATGTTTGTGAATAATGATGATTTTTTAAAAGGTAATTAATTTGAAAATGCCGATTTTTTTTCTTTGCTTTCCAAAAGACACCAAGGTCTTTAAGTTTTATAAATAAACATTTTTACGAACTTTTTATTTTTATTTTTTAGTATTTTTTGGTAAAAAGGTAAAATTTTATCCTTTATACCGGAATAGGTAAAATAAATTTTACTTTTTTTTTCCGTCAACCTAAAAAAATAAACTATTTGTTTTTTTTATTTTTTATTTATTTTTTTTACAAAAAACAATTTCTATAAAAGACTCAAAAATTATTTAAAATAACCTATCAAGCAAATAATTATTGTTACCAATTACTTTATCTGTACATACTTAAAAGTTACTCCGTTTTAGGCTGTTTTCCAAATAAATATAAAAATAAACAATATAATATTATACATAAACTATAATCATTAAATTATTGAAAATTATTATCGAACAAATGCTTTCATTTATCTTTATAAAATAATGTTGTTATGTTATCTAAATACACATTTTTACTGTTGCACGTTGTAATATGTACAATAACAAAACTTGGTTAATTTAAAAATAATTGACAATAATATCTTATTGACATGCAATTATCAACAAAGGGTTATTGAATGAAAATTGAGGATATCGATGTAGTTAAACAATTAAATGAATAACATTTTTTTATTTTTTTAGTTATTTCAACAAAAAGTCACATCAATAACACATAAATTGCAATCAATATTTGAAATAAGAATGTCATTAACAATAATTAAGTGAGGGATATAATGTTTTGGATAAAATGTTCAGTTTAAAATATTTTTTTTCAATGAAACATGCATATAATTTACATTAAAAATCAAACGTGTTTATAATTGTTATTCAGATATAACTTGTCAAAAGAAAAATATTGTCAATTTTAAACAAATTATTTTATATTAATAAACATTAGATGTAAACAAAAAGTAAACAATGCCAATATTATGATAAACGTGAAATTAAAAACACGTCAAATATACAGCGAATAATATTTATATTTGTTTTATATAAATAATTTATTTGTTTATTTTTCGGTGATATAAATAAATTTTTATTAATTTTTTTTAACCAATCAAGTTTACAGTAAATAATTGTTATAACAGTAAAATATCACCGTCAAATAACTTTTAATTATTATTAAAATACCATTTTTAAATATTTTTATATCAATAATGTATTATTGAATTTTTTGACATAAAAATTGATTTTGTTATTTTTATTTTAATTTAAAATAATTTACAAAAAATGAAACAAAACAATTATGTTTTATCAGCATCCTTATTTTTGATTTGTGTGTGAAACACAGAGACAACCATTACCCAATTTTTATAATTTATTTTGCTTTTTATGGTTTATAAATTCAAGCACCAAAGGGTTGTGTGTTTTTTTAAAACAATTTTGAAATGAATAACATTTTAAAAACAAAATGTTTTCAATAGAAATTTAGTCTTGCACGCCCTTTCCCTGAAAAAAAGAAGTAAAATTTTAACTTGCACACCTTGGGGAAGTCACTTTAATCATAATTTTGTTGATTTTTAAAACAATAAAAATTATGAAGATAAAAAC